TCTCTACCTGTATTACAATATTAATGGTCTCAGCGGGGATTCTGTTGAGCGGAGAGTACGCAGAGCGCTGATCGTTGGTGTGCCCGCTGCATCTGGCGCACAATACATTCTCAAGGTGGCGATCAAACATTATTATTAACACATGATCGTTCATATCTGTTAAAATCTTCTGGTATTCTGTCTTTTAATCGTTCCTGACATGCTCCGCTCATCGTGTGCTGCAGGGATTTCACCTCACTGAAGCAGCATCAAAATGCGCACTCTGCTTTACGGTCAGGAGATCCTTTTGATCTGCTCAAAAGTAACTGATGAGGTGAAAAAGTAAGAATCCAGGCAGCAGTTTTTCTGGAGAGTTTAGAGGAGATTAGGTCTGGGCGATATGGCAAAAATAGAATATCACGATTTTTCCAATATTTTATCACGATTTCGATTTTATCACAATTTTTTACCCATGAATAGCATAACTTCAATTGCGTATTAAAGAAGAGAAACATTGAATAAATAAACATTTATTCATATTAGGGATAATCAGCACAGTGCTAACACACTTATATTTTAAACTCACACCAGAGATGATAAAAGCCCTGAGAGAAACAATAACAAAAATCAGTTTTTCTCGTTTTTCAAGTAACTTAACATAAATTAAAATCGTAAACATATTTAAAGTGCAAACATGTCAATTGCAAACGTATTGTGCAAACATTAACTTGTTCAAAATACTATGTAGCTCCCAGTTGCTCATGTAGTGGATAGTTAAGCTCAAATACGGCTCTGATGTGCGGCTGGACCAGAGATCGCTTGTGGTAGCAAAAAACTGCGCATTCTGAATATTTTCTGCAACAAGTCTCTAAATAAAGTAAAATTTTCCAGTGCAGATTGGAGACAACCCATAGAAGCACTGATTTGATCTCATTTCAGAGAAAAATAGAACAGGTCAGATGCACCTAATAAATAAAATTACTAACAAACTCAGGAATCTTTCTTTGCTTCACTGTTCTGGTGCTGAAAACATCACTAATGTGGATCAAAGGAGATACACAGATGAATGCACCTCTTATTATTTGGAGACTACATTTACTGCAGCTGGCAGAGGCAGAGATTGTTTCTATTGATACACGGAGTTTACACAATCATTTTAAATGTTAATAGGGGAAGACTGCAGGAGGGAGCGGTAAAATACAGGGGGTCCCAGCAAAAACAAGAAACTACGAGTCTGATGAAACCCGCTGGTTTTCCATCAGGCAGTCACGGGGCAGCTCCAGCAACCGAGCTCAGTCCGGTACCGACACCGGCTCGGCAGAGGGTGGACGAGCCGAGGCGACGTCGTGCTCTGCTTAAGAAGCGGTGTTATTTTCCTGCTTCAGAAGAAGCGTCCAACGTGTTTTTACGCTTTCTCCGAGACATGTCACGTCGCTAAGTTGTAAGCGCCGCGCGCTAAGGAAACCCTGCGTTCCTCTTCGGAACGAAAACCTCGATGTCGCTCAGCCGCGGCGAAGCCATGTTTGTTCACACACAAAGTGAAAACAAGCGGGGCACTAATATATTACTATGACTCACTCTGATTGGTTAAGGGTCAAACAAGGGCGTGTCATTCGCCTGGGGTAAGTTCCCTTTTCATTTAGAGGCAGAAATTCAACAGCAGAGCTGTGAATCGTGATAAAACGGTCTCTCAAAAATGACAGACCGTCAGATGTGTAGATCGTAAAACGGTCTAAAATCGTCATATCGCCCAGCCCTAGAGGAGATGCAGGAAGATGAGAGACAGACGGGACAGGAAAATGGTTAAATAAAAACAAGAAAACAAAACAAAGTGTTGAAAAGTAAAATGTAGGTAGATTTATCTCCACTACACGTTTTTACCTGTATAAAGCAATAAGTAGGGATGCTCCGATCACATTTTTTTGCTCCCGATCCGATTCCGAGTCATTTGATTTTGAGTATCTGCCGATACCGAGTCCCGATCCGATACTTCAGCAATACAATAAAATAGCAAGAAAAAAGGGAGACTGCACCCAAATTGACCAGTTAGGTTTGTTATTATTATTTATATGACTGCATCCAACATGATACCATAAGAAAGTAGAAACATTTTGTTAGTGCAGCAGCACTTCAAACCAAGTAAACAAAATTATATCTTTGTAGCTTATCAGTGGTGCAACAATATGTAAACAAATTTGTTTTTATAGAAAAGTAGAAAAGGTTTGTAAAATAACTCAACACAATAATAGAAGTTAAATTAAAGTGCTTACCTCCACCTCTAAGAGGTAGTTGCATAATTCAGTCAGGTAACAAAATAAAATACATCTCAGGCCTTTGACTGACTAGTTTATTAAAACGAACAAAAGATATGCCTAATCAAAGTGGTGTACGAACTTCACCATTCAAGTATAAAACATCAACATCAAATTGCAAAGAACTAGTAAATCACCTCTTCCATGTGCTCTACATGGAGCTCAACTTTTACTTTAAGGCTCCCAAATAAAGTGCAGTTTAAAATGATTCCAAACCACTGACATTTTTTGCTCTCCTGGAGCGAGACAAGCATTAACCTGCTAGCTAACTGCTACCTGAATTCCACGGTCCACTTTAAAACGTGTGACGTTACGGCTGCCGTATGGTGTTGTCATGTCGTTATTGGGGAAGTGAAACTTGGTACAAAATTAAGCCATTGTTATTCAATTTGAAACTCAAGATTGATTAAAAATGTCATGCTTGTTGTTTTATAAGGATAAATCCGATCTTTAACACCCGATTCCGATCTTTTAAAAGTCACGTGATCGGGCCCGATTTCCGATCACGTGATCGGGCCCGATTTCCGATCACGTGATCGGATCGGAGCATCCCTAGCAATAAGTTATACACATGTAATATTTATACATTTGATAGAATTCAGATCACCTTCAAAACTCAGTCACACGCCCAGGGCCATTTCAAGGCATTTTGGGGGCCAAGGCTAAATGAAACACCCCCCTAACTCGTACATAATAGACATGCCACCATTACATTGTTGGCAGCAGAAATTAAATGTTATTACCATTTTCAATACAAATGCATGTTAATGAAATGCATTATATTTTACTGGATATATTTATGTGTTATTTTGACTAAGATGAGTGTTAATACAAACCTAAAATGTTACTGAAATGTAGGTCAAATATTAAAAAATATTTTTAACTATAAATATCAGATGGGAAAAGCAAACTAAACACTAATCTAATGCATATTATTGAGCCTTTTATAATATTTTGTCTCTAAAAAAGTGAGGCAGTTGAATGCACAGAGTATTCATGTGCTGGCGCATGGTCAGGATGGTGCCACCTCTGCCTCAATTTGAGCCAGGAAAAACCCTGGTACATGTATATGATGAGAGTTTCACAAGATGGTTTCTTGCTGTGAGCAATATGTATGTGGGTAATCATTTCATTCAGTGTGTGTGTGTGTGTGTGTGTGTGTGTGCTCCTTCACTATTGCTTTTTGTCCTGACACGTCTGCTGGAGAGTGAGAAAGGATCTTCCACAGACTGGATTTACACAAAATGTGTGTAGGAACATATAGCAATGGAACACAGACGTGTGTTAGGATATATAGAGTGTGTGTATGTTTGTGTGTGTACATGTATATGTATATGTGTATATAAATATAAAAATAAGATCAGATGAATGGAAGGTGCCTTCATGACATCATCCTTAGGTTTCTGAAGAGCTGAATTGAAGCCCAATGGCTGGCTCCTACCACTGCCATCTTGGCCGTGTTGCACGTCTTATCAACACTGGACAATACAAAAATGAAGCTGAGAGTGGGCCTGTGAGGGTGAGGGCAGATGATTGATTGACACCCTTCAAACTGTGAGCCAATGTAGCTGCGAGCTTATTCGGCTATCCTGGAGCCATCCGAAACTAATAGTCTTGTGGAATGAGTTCAGCCCGAAAACCGTGGTTGAGCAACTCCAACTTTCTAGGATAACACTTTTAACGTGAGGCAGAGGCTTTCCTTGGAGTAAGCAGGAGGCAAGTTGCTACTGTAGCGCTGATGGCTCTTTATACACCTGTCAATCAAAAGTACACACTCCTAATAATTATTAATTTAAAGTATTTTTTACATCTAAACAGATGAGTTACAAAAAATAATCCACCACCTCAGCGTTGTCATGACGATAAACTTAAACTATTAGAACTAAAATGTTTTTTTTTTCATCCAGACTGTTTATTTCTGCATAGAAGATGGCATTTGTAACATGGGAGTGAATGTGTAGGAACAAATGACAGTAATTCACAGGTGTGTGTGTGTGTGTGTGCGCGTGTGCGTATGCGTGTGTGTGTGTGTGTGTGTGTGTGTGTGTGTGTGTGTGTGTGTGTGTGTGTGTGTGTGTGGACATATGACAGTAGAACACAGTTATTTGTAGTGGATTGTTTTGCACTGTGGTGAGGACGTACACAGTGTCCTTATACCACCAACCCCCGTCCCTCCCAGCCTGCTGACGTTTTCCTCAGCTCCACACACTCATCCCTCCCATCCTCCAACATATTACATTACACCACCATTGCCTCCTCCACACTCAACCACCTTGGAAGGGTTTGCAGTGACTCCACATTTACTATTTTTATAAGTAGTTTCAAGCCAATTTTAGAGTTATGGCCACAAATGTGGAGAGTCATGATCCATTCAAGAACAAACCTACACAATGGAGCCTTGTTTCTGTTTGGCAGCTATATTTATATGTGTCTTCTTTTGTTAGTAATGTCCATGAAAAAGCGCACAAGTAGCTTTTAGGAGTACTATTCGTGGATTCACTGCACACTGTAAGGAAACTGATGCCATGTCGGCTTTATTTACATGGGGCTGCATAACTGTGGCTCAACCAGTCTTTTTGCTTAATAACTAAAGATGTTTCCCCAGCAAGAATAGGTAGGTGGCAAGTAGTCTGGACTTGTCTACTGGTAGCTGAGTTGGGTAAATGACCTTCTTGCCACATCTATTATTGCACCTTCTCTCATCCTCAGGCTCGGATCAAGTTTCCTGTCGACTACCCTTACTCTCCACCTGCTTTCCGTTTCCTCACCAAAATGTGGCATCCCAACATCTATGAGGTAATTAGTTCTAAATGTGTAAATCCAAGCTTGTTTGTTTAGATGGAGCTAGGGCTGCACGATATTAAGAAAACCTGCGATATGCGATAACAGTGGCCAATATTGCGATGATGATATTACTTGCGATAAATAAAAAATTAACTGTGGAACTAAAATAATCGAAAACAAAGAAATGAAAAAATTACAAAAAAAAATCATAAAAATGAACAAGAAAAGGGAATCAGTGGATCCTGAGAAAAGCAGAATCAGCAGATAGAGCAGAACAAAGCTAATTCAGGTGTTTGCTAACCATCCAAATTAAGTGCCGTCCGCCTCGGGGGCGGGACTCTAACCTTTTAGAACCCACCCGATTGGCCAAATTGGTGAAGAACTCTATTTGATTTGTTAAAAATACATCATGCTTCCGTTTGATTGACAGAATGCATTATGTGTAGCAAACATTTGAGCTGACCATTCATTATGATATTTATCTGTTATTTGCGATATGCATATTGCGTGTGCTGATATCGCGATAACGATATATTTGCGATATATTGTGCAGCTCTAGATGGAGCATTGCAATCTTTGCCTTCTGTCCTCTTTGCTGCTGAATTATCTAGAATTTAGTTAGAAATTTCAATCAGGAATCAGAGTTTAAGTTTCTAAATCATGATTCAGGTTTAAAGACTGTGGAAATATTTGTATAGCATTTCCTCATTGCTAAATAATAGAACTACCTTTTTAATTAATTAAAGCTTATAGCATCACATCACTCTGGAAGGACTGAAAGCAAAAACAATCTACAAAGTGTTTGACATTGATCTTATGGAATAAAACTAATAAATAGAATCACTGTAAAGTAATTCTATTAGCAGACTTTTTAAAGGAGTCATCACCTGAAATGTCACTTTTCCACTTGAAAAAATGTGTATAATGGCTTCCTAATGATTTTTCAATGGCCAAAAAGTCGATATTTAACATTGGATCGTTTTTTTCCTCTTTGCTACTTCAACCAGCCCACGTTCACCCCACGAGCATGCGCACTCCAAATCAAGATCTTGAGCTCTGGCCTAACTGTTGTCACAAAGGCAGGATGTACAGTACCATATATGGACAGCGCAGAGCAACGCCGCTATAGCCCACACTTCTCTACTTCCAGAAAAGATGGCCATTAGAGACGTAGTTTCAACTTAAATTTTGGAACTAGTTGTTTTTGAAAATATAGTAATAATAGTTCGTATTTTAAAATATCAAACTTTTATTGGCCCAAAGTCGTTCCAGCTGTCATCAAGCATCCAAATGTTTGCTGGGTTTTAACACCATTTTTGGTGATACAAATATTTTTAGTTAAATGTGTCAAAGATGGCTCAACATGTAAGACTCCTGACTTACACACGGAGGACAAGTGGTTTTACAGTGGTTAGACAGTAATAAGACACTAGGGTTGTCACGGTGTGAAAATTTAACCTCACTGTTATTGTGACCAAAATTATCACGGTTTTCGGTATTATCGCGGTATTTTTTTAAACGTGTTACATTTTCAGACAACTAAATAAACCCTGTATATCAGGAAAATATAGTCCTCAGATTGTGTCTAAATTTTGCCTAAAATTTGTAATTTTGGAATTATGTTGTTTATTTGTTTACATTTTTCCCCTTTTAGTCTTTAAAATACAATATTTGCCCATAACTTCTTATTTTTTGTCTGCTTGATGTCATCATTTTAAAAATATTAGATCAGATGATACTCAGTACTCAAGTAGCCTTCTAATCAGATACTTTTTTTTACCCTTACTTGAGTAATAATCCCTATATCAGGAAAATATTGTCCTCGGTTTGTGTCCTTCCTGTGAGCTTTGCAGATTTGGAAAAATGTCATCAGGCAGTAATCATTGTTAAATTTATAATTATTCTCGGAAAGAGACCAACTCTTATGCATAGCGTCATTTTAATATGGGGGTGTCCGCGACATGGTTTCAAAGCAGGTAGCGGCGCTGCGGCTGCTTTATATAGCGACTCGTTGCATTCTCCCTCAACCCAAATCCTCGGATCACGCATTTTAGCTAAAACGCTAACGTTAACTTGCCTTACGTTGACTGTAGAGTTGTGGGTGATGGTCACAAAGATGTGTCATGAGATTTTAAGTGCTGCTGCCTTTCACAGACACTTTTTCCTGCACGTGCTGCAAACAGGATAGCCGTCTTCTATAAACTCCCTCGGCATTCTTCAAATATCCAAAAAATGCCCATACTTCCAACTTTGTCTTCTTTGAGGAATAATAAATGTCCTGAGCGCTGCCATCTCCTCCTTTGGCCATTATTTCAGCTTTAGCTTCAAGAAAGTTTTGGTCGTTAACTCATTCACTGCCAGCCATTTCCTGATCGCTAACGGCCTTCGCTGCCAGCGTTTCTCACCGTTTTTACTGTTTTTTAAGAGTCACAGAACGTTGCGCGCTAGCATGATGTCGACACCAAAACAACCAAAACAAAGAGGAGACTCACACATCAGGAAGAGTCTGTGTGTTTCGAGCGTTATCCGTTTTCATAATCTGTGGTCGAATTGTGATCTGCAGACGCTTTTCCGGTTCGCGCCTCACTTTTTTTTACAGAAACAGCCCAAAACGATCTAACACATGGATGGTCTGCTTCCTGATCACGTGACATGTGACTTATACAGATGAAGATCGGCTTCAGGGCTGAGATGTTTGTTCTCAGTGCGGGGGCTCGTTCTAATGCTCAAACAGTAAAAAAAATGCAAATGACGACTTTATTCGTCAATGGCAGTGAATGAGTTAACAAAAAAAAAGTGCGCTTGTGCCGCCGGCAACTTCAGCAGATGATACGGTAGCTGGTAAGGGTCAATGCGCCTACACCGCAGCCACGGTAATCCACCGAGATAATATTTTTTTTTAAACAAGACTGTTAATATTATTGTCAACTTCTTTAACGGGGTTTACCGCTACACCGGTTACCATGACAACCATATAAAACACCCAAATTTTAATTTTTAAATGTCCAAATGAGACGCGCCGAAAGACATTGAATTCATGGCGAGAAAAGATGTCGGTTCAACTTTAATTTTGGAACTATATTTCAACCATAACAGGACGCGTCATTTGGAATTGCAGTACGTCCAAGGGAGGTCCCGTCTTTCTCGCCTCTGATTATTATAGCGCTAAGTTTACAGTTTCTTAACAAAACAGCTTTCTGTTGGTGGCGGTGGCAGGAGAACAGTCTGCACTTCGCAGATGGGGAGCCTATGTCTCCACCCTTTCCAGTCAGCTCATGGGTTTCCGGAAGAACGAAAAAATGAATGCAACTCAATGGGCTAAAAGAGCTATTGTCCAACCCACTTAGCCTTAGGCCCTGGATCACACACATATGTTATACTGCAATTCAAATGAAAAGTAATGATAGGTGTTTCGACCATGCCTGTCACATACTTTGAGATTCATCAGCTTGTAAAAGTTTGTAATTAGCATGACTACATTGGCACGTCACATATGTGACGTCACCACATGATCTCCTCTCCCCTAGTGAAGCTGCTACTAGCCAAAGGGCCGAATTTATGGTGTGTTTTTTTCATCCCGAAGGAAGGATTTCAAGTTAGCTAAACTTACAGCCTTTTCCCTCTGTTGTTCTTCGTGTCTGGTTCAATGACGTCACTTTCGTGAAGTGCATTTGTAGTCCCGGACTTATTTTCACACAAAACCTAAACTAATGTCGTCGTCCCCCACCCCTTTCGAAAATAAGGACTTTCATGGTATCAAAAAACGTATTTAAAATTGACAGACATCATATGTGAAATCCATGGAACATAACAAACTTTTTAATTAGAAAGTAGTGTTTTTAGCCCCATTGACTTGCCTTCATTTTTTCGTTCTTTCGAGGACCCATGGTCCAGAAGTAGATGGGCGTGACTCCCTATGGTTTATTGTAGTAGAGCCCTTCTATCTAATCAGATGCAAGAAAGACAGGGTCTTCCTTGGACACCCTACGATTTCAAACGACGCATACGACACAGCCAAAACATCACATGTGCTTTCGTGAGAAAACATGTCGGTCACTTTTAAATTTATTTTTCCAATACAACTTATTTTTATGGCTTAAAAGACCATAATATATGATGTAGATATCCATGGTAGTAACAGGTGATGACTCCTTTTAATAGACTCTTCCATCTCCCAACATATCTTTTATGCTTGTGTATTTGATCTGATTTGCTGCTTAATTCTCATTTTCCTGTGCTGTCACTGGCTGGTATCCACACGCCATCTACAGCCTTGACACATCCCACATGATACCAGACAAGGAAATTACCGCTTTAAATAAGACCTGTTGAAATATTTATCTGAATATGTGTGTGTATTGTGTTGTGTTCCTAGAACGGGGATGTGTGTATCTCTATCCTGCATCCACCAGTGGATGACCCACAGAGCGGTGAGTTGCCTTCAGAGAGGTGGAACCCCACACAGAACGTCAGGTACTTGGCAGACTTTTAAATTTTTATTTTTTTGCACATTTCTTGTTTTCCTGCTCTACAGATAAAGTTCTCCATCATTGCTCACATTTTGCGGTATGGAGTAGAATAAATAAATGTTGCTTTTATCGTCTGTGTCAAAAAAAAAACAAGTGCAAGAATAAACACTTACCAAAGGGCTCTGTACCCGTTTCAAGGAAAAGAGCCTTTTTGCTAGTTCTCCTACTACTAGGGCTGCAACTAACGATTATTTTCATAATCGATTAATCTGTCGATAATTTTTTTCGATTAATCGGTTTGTTATTGTTTAGCTATTTAACCTATACACGTGATGAATACATTTCAGTTAAGAAAAAGAAAAACATAATTGTGCAGTTGACTGCAATCTATTTTATTGCACACGAACACAGTCAGCAGTGTAAAATGAGCTAAACAGTGCAAAATATCAGTCCAGAATAATTTTTTGGCATCAAAATATAAGAGGTAAATTCCATAAAAAATAATGTAGAATCTAGAATAGAGTTTGTAAGTGGTAAGCATTGCTGGGGGGTGAGTGTCTTGTTCCCCATGTAGTTGTCCATCGTTGCTTGTTTATTTTTCTGCATGAGAAACAAAAATAGACTGAAATAAGTACACATATAAAATAAAGCAGCACACACACTACAACACTAAATCAATATTATATTATTTGAATTAATTAACAATATACAGTGATCATTTATTTTGACAAAAATGTGTTGTGAGGCGTTTTTCAGCGTTAGACAGTAAAACAGCCTTTTAATAGTTAAAAAAATTACTTTCTGAATTTCTCCTGTATTTAAAAATTGAAAGTGTACAACTATGCCGCGTTATATTCACCTGGACACAGCTCGTCTGTATATTTTTCTCCGTGGAGTTGTCCTTTCTTGAATGAGGAACATAGTTATGGGTTTGTGCCGTTTTTCTCTTAACGAGAACATTCTTATAAACAGACGTACTAAATTTGGCAAGCGCATGATTCACAACACGGAGGAGATTCACGATTGCATTTAGTCAATCAGAAGTAGAACACCGTAGACTGACGTGGCAAAAAAACATGTTTAACATCCACTATAACAAACTCAGCTAAAACACTAAGTCCCAAATTTGATCTGCGTGTAGTGATGGACCACTATATTTAGCTTGTTTATTTTCTGTTACTTACTGGGCTGGCGTTTCCTCTGCTGCATTTGCCCCCACATTTTCGTCTCAAATGTTCACTTAGGGACGTCGTGCTTCCGTGCCATGCTAGATGGTTTTTGCATATTTTCCAGGTCACCCGTCTTTTCATCTAGAGTGAAGTGCTCCCATACTCGTGAGGTTTTTTTCCAGGGTTTCTCTTCAGTATTGTCGCTTCTATTTTTCTTCCGTATTTCTTCTTGTTCCGCCATCTCTCACAGCAAGATGAGCATCAGTAACGTGATATGTCATGTAAACCGAGGGCACTTATTGGCTCGTTTCCTCTTCTACGTCTCCACTGGTAGATCAGTGGCTCATTACTGCCACACACTGGCGGCAAATTTAACATTGTAACCGATGTCAGATTGTGGTAAAAATAGACTTTATGCGGTAAAATGTGATTATTAAACAACTAATCGATGACTAAAAAAGTTGTTAACTATTTTAATAATCGATTAAATCGATTAGTTGTTTCAGCTCTACCTACTACACATGTATGTCCACATGTATATACATGTATGTAAATAGATCTTCCCTCAATAGTGTGTATCTAAACGCTTTGAGCTTTTATGGGAACTACATACATCATCAGCCTTTGGTAGAACCTTGTCTGTAAAACATCCGAGTTTATTTATGTTTATCTATGTTTACACAGAATTATCCTGAAGTGGACATTGAGCACATATGTTTTTATATTTTGGTGGCAAACGTGTTTAACGTTACAGTAAAGATCTCCATTAGCCACATGTAAAGCTCTGGGTTGATTCAGCTTTTCTTTCTAATTATTTGTTTGTTTTTGTTCTTATTAATTTGCAGTTTTCTGGTTTGACATGCAAAAAAATTAACATCATTCAAAAATAATCGTGGTTCAACTTGCATGCTTTACTCCTGCGGAACAAACATTCTCACATTTCCATCTTTCTTAGCTGCTTTGGGCCACTTTGTTCAGTTGTTTACCACTAAATCCCTTTCCTTCATGACAGGTTCTTCTTTTTACATATTGAACTCTTATGTAATGTCATGTGTAGTCCATCTGTAGCTTCACCTTTCATCCTAAAAGCTCAAACACACACTCTGCTATGTAGATGTGTGTACACACACACACACACAGCCTGCTGCAGCCTGGAGCTGATTATCGCGCAAACAGTTCCACATTCTGGCTCCTCCTAAAGAAGATAGATGGAGTGAGCAGTTTGGAGGTTAAACACAGTAAATCAACCTCCACCCAAGCAGCACTCATCCAAACACCATGTATAAATAATCCTTCACTTCAGATTTTTACTGAACACACCAGCCGTCCCGTCTTTTCTGCTTAGTTCAGAGATTTATTTTCATAGTTGACAAGGAGGAATACTGTCATCGATTTTATTTAATGTATATATGGATGACTTATCAGCTCAGTTGAATAGTGCAAAAACTGTCTTGTGGGCAGCATGATTATAAATCCTCTTATGTATGCGAGCGATTTGGTGCTGCTCTGCTCGTATAGTGCAAGGATGCAGCATTTACTAAAGATATGCTGTTGTTATGGTTTGGAATATGACATGCAGTACAATGCTAAGATAAGCCATATAAAGAAGTGCTGGGGACAAGAAATTAACTTTTCCCACCTTCTATCTGTCAGGAAGTGCTCTTGCAGAGTGTGAGGAGGTAAACTACCTCGGGCACGTTTCAACCAACAATTGGTCTGATGATGAGGATCTCTATCGTCAACGTTGCACTGTTTATTCTCAGGCTAACACATTAATAAGGCTGTTTGCAATGCTCTCCGACTCTTTGAAGCGCTCGTTATTTATATCTTACATTGCACCTCTGTATACTGTTCAGCTATGGTCTGGCTTCTAGAAAGCATCTGCAAAGACTCAAGATAGCCGATAACGATGCAGTCAGGTGTACATTGGGTGTTGCTAGGTGGCACAGTGCCAATCAAGTATTTGTGGATAACAAAGTTCCTAGATTTGAGGCACTATTAAGATAATTGTTGCATACTTTAATGTGTCACCTGGACAAAACTAAGAGCTATAACTGTGGCCATAGTAAATCCTAGTAAAACCTGTCTTAGATTTACTTCTGGACTAAGGAGACACTGGTGTGATAGTTTGATTTATAAGGTATCAACAAGGGCTGTGTTTATTCCTTTATTCTCATTAAGATGTTTGTTTTATTTCCTATGGACTTGTGTCTGGAATAAAGTATAATAATAATAATGATAATAATTTAACGTGTGGCAATGCTGACGGATCTCTATCTGGTTAACCAGAAGCTTTTGAAGCTAAAATCAAATGTTGATGGTGATGTAAACTGATGTTTACAGAGTCAACAAGCTGCTTGGATTACCCCTGTCTTTGTCCAGGGGTCTCATTTATCAAACATTGTGTAGAATCTTTACTAAAACCGTACTTAAGCTCAGCCAAAAAAAAGTACTTACGCCAAGTAGGTTTGTGATCCATCAAACGTGGAGTACGCACAGCTGCATGCGATCTCTGCTTCATAAATCAAAGACTAACGAGAATGTTTCTCAGCTGCATTTTAGTCACATCCCGCCCTCACCACGCCCACTTACTGTCATAAATAGTCAATGCAAAGTGCCTTGTGGACCTCATGCATATACATAAGCCGGCTGTTGCAGCGCTCCGCCAATGACATGTCGACCATAGATCAAGGCAGATTAAGGAAGCACAATTTCACAGAAGCAGAAATTCAGGTACTTGTGGGTGAGGTGGAGAAATGAAAGGAAGTGCTTTTGCTAAACAAATAAGAGAAATCCCATGGAGTGGCACAGCGTTGCTGAAGCCGTCAATGCTGAGTCCTTCAGAGAGATCTGTGGTGATATAAAAAAAAAGGGTCCAATCTGGATTCAATTCCCAGACTTCTGGGTGAAAGTCATGCACACTAACCAGTCAGCCAAACGGAGATCTCCCCTGTCCAAGTAGCCAGAGCGCACGATCAATCGGGTCACAGTGACAGGACACACACTGTCACAGACGCATGACATTGTGTCTCAATCTGTCCCCCTGCTGATATTCTGCATTCCGTATTCTGCGCTTCAGGCTGTGTGTGTGCACGTGCGCGTGCATGTGTGCGCGAGTGTGGGGGGTCTTGTTCTGTTTGAAAACGAAGCTGTACAAGTGATAATACTGCAGGATTTCATAATTTTATCCTTCTCAGCAGCAGCACTGCAGGTGCTCTCCATGTCCAAAATGTGCGTAAGCCAGGTCCTTAGACAACTTAAAGTTGCGCACATTTTTCCGCCAAGTTTTCGTTCATAAATCCCAAAGTTTGCGTGGAAAGTTGCTTACGCAGTTTTTCGACCCCGCTTTGTGCGTTAGCAACATCGACATATAAATATTGGACAATGGGTTTCCATAGACTCCATTAATAAGTTTTTGGGCTAAAATGGGAGGTGGCCACCACCGCCATTTTGACCGTGTCACAGGTTCCGTCAAGCCCAGACAATTCCACAAAAGGGAAGAGAGGTGGAGCTGAGGATGGGGCTGTAAGGCTGGGATCAACTGACGACACCCGGTCGAACTACCTACAAGCTAACGCGGAGGTGGGATCTAAGCTAATGGAGGTAGTAACCTAGCTACAACCGGAGTTAACTGTGCACAACACCAGAGCTTCTGAGTCAGAGATACGCCGGGCTGACCGCTGGGTAAAACCGGGTGGAACACAGAGGTCTCCCGAAAGCTGCTGAAAGCCGGCAGCCCGCGCAGCAGACAGAAGCTGCAATCAGACAGAGATGCGCCGAGCTGCGGGGAGGGGAGAACCACAAGCCGGCAGCCCACGCAGCAGCCCGTGCAGCAGACGGAAGCCGCGATCAGACAGAGATGCATCAAACTGCGGGGAGGCGAGAACGGGTGGAGAACATCGGTCTCCCGAGAGCTCCAAAAGCCGATAGATAGTCAGAACCTAGCTCCACCAACATGTTATATTTCAACCCATTTTCTAAAGTGCAGCATTATGTTAAATGCACTTGGTTTACCCTATTACATTTAAATTTCATGGTTAAACAGTACATGTTAAAATCCAAGCTCAGCTCGGCAGTGACCTAAAATACATAAATATAATTTTACTTACTGAAAAATGAAGTGGAGACTCCTTGGACGCTCTATTAGTGCAATTAATGCCACAGCAAGTCATTTTGTCCAACAATTGCACAAAAAATATCCAAAAAAGAATACACAAACACAAAGACTGAAAATGCCGGAGCAGTTTCCAAGCCAGGCCGAGGCTCTACTGAGGCCTTTCCACGGAGCTAGCTCTGTGGTCACGTGGGTCTGATGCTCATTAATTATACAGAATTTTAGGCTTTTAATACACTTAAACAGAAGAGTGAGAGAAAAATTCACCCCCCTCAGAGTTGTCATGAGTGTAAACTAGATAATTTAAACCAAAAACATGTTTTGGTACCAGGCTGTAAACATGTTTATTTCTGCTGTGAAATTGGTATTTTTAACATGGGAGTCAATGAGGATTTGCTCGCTTCTGACTCTAGCCCCCAGCGGATGAGGGTGGAACTGTAATTTTTGGTACTTCCGGGTTGGGCTCAATTTTTGAGCCGCATTGTGGAGGCTTGGTAAGCAAGCTCTATAAAAGAGGCCCCAGGTCTTTGTAGCCATTTCTGTACCAGTCTTTGTCCTGTTCTCTTAGTCTCTTGTCTCATCTGGTTTCCATATTTGTTTCTCTACCTCAGTTCCCACGCTGGTGTAAATCTTTTTCTGTATTTGAATTTCTCTGACTTTCCCATCCTGTCGCTGCACATCTCTTAGGACCATCCTGCTCAGTGTCATCTCACTGCTGAACGAACCAAACACATTTTCTCCTGCCAATGTGGACGCGTCAGTCATGTACCGCAGGTGGAGGGAGAGCAAAGGCAAGGACAGAGAATACATTGAGATCATAAGGTACTGAGGGTGACAAACACAAACACACACACGCACGCACGCACGCACGCTACACTTAAGAGTTGAAAAGGTTTATTCTGCATTATTGTGACTCTGAAACACTTTTATCTCCACCTGAAAGAAAACAGGTAATGGCTACCAAAGCTGACGCAGAGCGGGACGGCGTGAAGGTTCCCATCACATTGGACGAATACTGCGTCCGCACCCAAGTCCCACCCACAGATGACGGCTCCAACCTTTTATATGATGACTACTATGATGACGAAGAGCTGGATGAAGATGACGATGATGACGATGAGGACTGTTGCTATGACGAGGATGATTCTGGCACAGAGGATTCCTGACCGTGTCATGGCGTCCTCCTCCTCCCCCATCACTGACCACTTCCTGTTCTCACCCACACACACATGCACCCCCCTCTTTCATTATGGAAGCCTCTTCCACCCTCTTCTTCCTCTGGAGTCGTTACTGAGAGCCCCACCATCCACTTCTGTTAAGTGCAGTCACATTCTGCACACTAAAGCCTGATCCTGTGAAGAAAACAAAGCTGCAGAGTTGTTCTTTGATTTATTATTTTTTACATTTTATTAAGATTTTTCAAAAAAATTTTGTTTTAGTAGCGGTTACACACAAAACGAACACAAACAGCAGTAAAATGTAAAGAAGTAACTTTTCCATCTTCGTTTTCATCGGCATCTGTTTGGAATTTCCAAAAAAAAGCTTTCTGGCTTTATGACTCGATTGTTCCACAGATGTTGATGTTATGGTTTTAGCCAAATTTCTCTTTGGTATAAATTTGCCCACTGATGAAGCGCCATCAGCAGATGGAGGATGATCACTTTAAGTAAGATGCACCAATACCAACAGCAGCTACTGTGCAGAGTTTCCAGCAAACTGGTGAAAAAAAAGAGTTAAAGTAAACAAGCTGATCACCGCTCTCATAGTGGTAGCCCATTTTATTTAGCCACATTTTGCTAACAGCATCAAAAGAAGTGAAGCTCTCCATCTAACGACATAAACGGCTGCTTTAAAATAATATCTGATTGTTTCTAATCTGCCGTGTGGAAAAAGCTTCTGAGTTGATCGGCAGCAAGCAGTTATATTAGATAATGCACTGTGTCAGTCAGGTGCATTAATTTGGTTTATCACAAGGTCATTTTCTCACACTAGTAGGACTTGTGGTTGAGAGTTTGTAGCGAGTGTTTCACATTTTATTTATTCAGTATTTTTACACTAGGAGTTGATATTCAGACCATTATAGTCAAGAACACAGGAACTCACTCTGTTTGCAACCAAACTGTGACTTAGATCAGTGGCATCTATAGTACTCAGTATTACTCAAGTGTGAGCACGCATGCTCGGTTGGGTGGTATTGGTGCATCCCTGAATCTAAATCCAGCAGCATTAGCAAAAGAAGGTTATTTGCTCTTGGATAGCTTGTGTTTGATATCTTGATCTGCTAGCAGGCTGAGTCAGGTCCTGCCACACTTCACCTCTGACCCTTCTATCATCACAAAGCTTATGCTGCTCCAAATGGGGGGAAGTTATCGTTCCCCCAAAAAGCCCACTCACACTTTCTTGTGCCTTGTTTAAACCATAATGTTCCAGATTCAAGCGACTGACCACCAGCTCAACCCTGAAGAGTGGCAGAGTGTGATGTACAAAATTATTTATAGAAGCATCTGTCAGATTTGTCTGGTGGTGTGAGTGAGAAAGTTAAGATCTAACAGCTGATCTGCAGAGTCAAATGTAGATCATACATCCTCCCACTGCCCCACATCCTTTCAGAGTAAAAGCACGTGCTTTCAGCTGCCTGGATATGTTGAAGAAAAATGGCTACCTGAGTCTGCTGCTGCTGCCCAAAAAATCCTGAGTACTGTATTTAAAAAATCCTATGCAGCGCTTCAAATGCAGCAGTAGCCTTTTGATAGTCTACTCTAACTCCAGATTGGTCTGTGAAGGCTTTGGAGTGATGGAGATGGACGTGTGCAGCTGGATCCATTTTTGTTTTGGTCTGCAGTTTCAGTCCTGTACTGAGTAGCACAGCTCCCAAACCGTCAGAGCGCGTCCCCTGCTGGTCATTGTGTGCACTATTTTTTTATTTCTGTCTTTGAATGACTAGACTGGATCGGAGCCATCTTGACTCACCTGAATCTTGTTACCTCAGAGGAGATCAGGGGAATGGAAAACGACCTGCTGAATATGTAGGCCGACTGGGGGGGAGGGGGTTGGTTTTCAGTCTCCTGTGCACCACCAGAGGACTTCTACTCTCGGCCAGGAGTGCTCTGCTGCACGCTTAAACACTTTACCAACAGCTAGCAGTGTTCACAATGTTACTGTGGCCATGTCTGTTTTCTCATGTTTGAGCAGAAAAACGTGGAGAGAAAGTGAAGAAGTTCAAGGCTGGTCTCTGAGCATGACCAGACTTATGTAGTTCTTCACGAGCATGCTGATATGTGTTTGTGGTTTTAGGTCTGCTGTAGGGGTTGGGATTATGTCCAAGATTAGGGATCGGAACCTGAATGAGCCGGGGGTGTGTGACTTTTCCTGTTTTTTCCAGTTTTGACTTGTTTTCTAAATTATGATGCAAGCTGGAAAATTTTAATTTTTGTGTGAAGATTAAGAACTCGTGTTATTCATGAGAGAATACGTAATTGTACATTTAAATACACCATCTTGTGAGAACAGAAATGTTCCCCAAACTCACACAATGCCCCTGGTCATGAATATTTCACGATGAACTGTTGGTAACCCAGTTTCATGATCTATGAATGATGCTCGTGTTTTTTTTTAAAGGGAGGGGTGTTACTTTTGTCAAATGTTTTCTCGTCTTTCCACTTTTTCCCCAAGTTCTCTGAACTGTGATTGCGATAAAACCCAGCAGTTAAGAAACAACTAAAACCTCAGGAAAATAAAAAAACTACCAACAAACCAACCAACCAGTTCTTCTCTAGCAGGGGTGGGATGGGGGACTCATTTTTTGGCTTCAAAAGACTGTTTACAATCTCTACCTTGATATGCACATGTGGATATTTTGACGATCACTTGATGTTTCTTATTTTTTTCTTGTTTATATTTTCTTTTTTCTCATGGTTTGTAAATCTATTTAAATTCTGAAATAAAGTTCTTTATTAGATGCTGTGTTGTTATTCAAATTACTTGGACAAAAAAATGACAATTTTTTGAATAACTGAGATTTTTTGAGATTTACAAAAATATATTTCAAAACAAAATAATTCTAAAAACACGCAGACAGAAGAGAAAATGTTTACCTATTAAATATTAAAGAGCAAGTGACCCCCAAATAAACTTTTTTTTTGCTGATAAACTAAATAAACAAGTGTCTAATCGTGCTGCAGACACGTGTCGTCAATAATTTGGCACTTCAGTGCATCTTAGTTAAAATTTAAATATTCTGCCTAAAACTGGCAGTGTTGTGCCGTTGTCAGGTAAAAACTGCACTGTATTTTAATTTAAATCTGCCACCGCTATTGGCTAAGAAGTATGCTATGATGTAAACTGGTACATTATGATGTCACAATGCTGTCGTGAGCCTGAGTGTGTGTGTATTTGTTAGCGGCTCCGCCCTCTCGGTCTGCCAGGCAACAGCATGTGTTGCATTTTTCAAACATGAAGCGGGAGTGGAGTTAGACTCTGGTAGGGGTTGACTTGCTCTTTAAATCATTATTTCACATGTAAAATTATGGTCGATTTTATTTATTTAACAGAGTTTAACTTCCTTTTAAACACATTTCCTCATCAGTCATTTTATTTTGTGCTTCAAATTTAACCTAAAATAAATTAGAGAAAGTCTTAGGTCCAATTTAACCATCATTCATTAATCATTACCTGTTAAAACATCTGTTACTGTGGGATTAAATGTTTTCAAGCGGGGTTAGGGGGTGGCAACTTGTGCTCAAGCCTTGGATGTTTTCTGAAAAGCCCTAAACCAGAATTTTCCATTTGAAAGTAAAAAAAAAAAAGAAGAAAAAGAAGCTTGGAAGTAACATGCAGTACGACACACTGCACATGTGAGAAGACTGATATAAACACAAATGTTATGAAGCATGAAACAAAGAAAAACAAAAATGGTTTCAACTCATGGTTCAGAATCATAGTGGGTGTTTCTCAATAACCTCGCCTTGATATCGTGGTCCTGCCCCGGTTGCCTAGGTGATACATCAGGAACCGCCAAGGCGTGTTTAGTGTTCATGTTTTACCGAGGCGTGTGTTCTTCATTTTTTAGCCGTTTAGCTAGCTGACCAATGATACACGAGCGGAGTCTTGTAGCCTGTACTTGGTCAACAATTTCCTAGAATGCAGCGTGGCATTTTCAAATGGATGGCGGATCAGAAGCCGGCAGCTACTTCAAGGGCAACTTTCCAGTTTAAATGTAAGTCCATTAATTGTAGCCATCAGGCTGTTGTCTGGAATATTTTTTAGATCCAAAGCAGTTAACTATGGTTGGTTAGTTGCTTAGTAGTTGCAGATTTGGTGGCTAGCAGGTAGTGACTCATTTACATATTTAATTTAACCAATATATACACAATTTTAAAAGTAAAAGGCTTGTTATACATTTACATATTTTGAAACTAGTTTGTTTTGAATAATTTCAAAGCCTTTGAAATAAATGTAGGCAGTATTTTAATGTTTTATAATTATCTACCTATAACTCTTTCAGGCTTGTGTTATTTGTGGAGATAAAATATCAACGTTGCAAAGCAACACTGTGTTGGTGGTAGAGTCATGTTTCTGTAATCCAATCAGAAGCAAGATTTCTAAATATCAGGAAATAAGACTCCAACGTTTGAAGCTTATCTCTCATGTGGATCACTTCTACTACCTGAAACTGGTGCACCAGGGCTTTTTTCCCCACAGAGTACAATTTACAAGGCATTCATTCCTACTAGAGACCACTACAAACGTATCGATTAAACGAGTGTTCCACACCTTTAAAGTGACAGTAACATTATGCTACAACAACACACAATATCCCCTTGTGGATCATTACAATATTTAGAAATATTATCATTTGTTTTCTGATGTTCCTGGTGTTCCTTAATAATTCCTAACATGGACGTAATTTTTTTGGGGGGGACAAAGTCAAGTTTGGACCCCTGCACTTTTTACCATCCAAAAACAATATTATGCTATATAAAACTGACACTGGTTGAACTCTAGGACCAAGCAGAAAACAACCGTTTGTGTTGAAGCCTGTTTCCCATTAGAGCATACTGTAAAGATTCCCCCCACCTCCCCGTCCCCCCACTTCTAAAGTGAAAATTACGTCCATGATTCCTAATAATTATACAATGATTAATAATGTTCTGATCAATTCCTGTTGGTTTATTTTTCTGAGCAGAGTGACTGAATAAACCTATTAAAAATAGGTTGCATTTTGTAGAAAATCAAATTCTTTTTTTCAATTATTTCTACAGACAGTTGTCACAATAAAATATGTATAATATGTAAAGTAACACCCACTGCTAAATAGATACAAATCTAAAGCCCACAAAGACATTGTCCTACATGGTTCAATCATGTCCCGCGTGAGAAACTCTTATGTCTACCAATTCGTGGCTCAAAGGTTTTCACAAACACTGATATATGTGTTTACACGATATTGTGCTATGGTTTTTTAACACAAAAGTTGTCCACCAATTTTTTTGTACATGCTAAAAAGATTCATCATTCATTTGGGCGACGCCCCAGAACACTTCACTGCTAAATCTGCTCCTGCAAACCACCTAACTAAAGCTTGCCCTATTTTCTTTTCCAAGGGCAGAAAGGTGTGTTAAGTAAAATAAATCTTACATTTGTGGGCACAATATTATTAACTCTGTAACAGGTGCATCTTCTAATTTGACATCAATTGTGAGTTTGAAAAGATTATGCCACGTTTCTACTTTTAGATGCAAAATACTAAAGGAAAAATGTCTATTTTTCTGTGACAGACTACACAAACCAGCTGTGTTTCTTTACCTTTAACCCTCTGGAGGCAGGCGTTGCAGATTTGCAACAGTTAAAACCTACCTACCTGGTTACTCCACATACGTATTTCATGAGCATTTTTAAACTCAGAAGTACCCCTGAAGGATTTAGTTGTTTGTCCTTTTATCAAAACTTATTTTGAGCCTGAGAGGGTTAATAGATTAAAACAGTTATTTTTTGTATCAAATAAAATATGCTGTTCACTGCCCGTTCAGATACTTCTGAAAGGGGTTGTTGGCTTTTTATGTTATATATAATTGACTTTTATAGTTTGGTAGTTTTACAGTTTTTGGGGTGTGTTCATAATCAGAGGTCTGGTGAGATTTAATAAAAAATAAATAGATGGTTCCTGGAGTTTAGTTTGTGCTTTACACCTCTAGGGGGCAGCAACAGCTTATGTCTGCAAGTCTTGATCATCTCAGAAATCATAAAATGAGACAAGGGATGCTTAAACTAAACGACTTTATTTGTTTTCATTTAACAAAATTATTAAACTACACATGCATTATAATTAAAAAATCATTATTAAGTGGTTTAATGTTATTAGCTCACCCTTTTTGTGGCTTCGATCAAAAGCCTCAAGGTGTTTGCTTTTTAAAATCTCATCCTTCCCAGAAAAACGAAGAATTAGAGAAAAATATAAGTGATACAAATTGCTGCTTAAATAAAATTATATATAAATGTTATTTGGGCCAAAATTTTATATTTTCCCCTTTCAGTTTAAACTAACTGGTATGGTTAACCAACCACCGGGAAAAGAAAATGACTCGAGTGTGAAATGCCAGGAGATCGTTTTTAAAGATCAATACATCCTATTTTGTGGCTTTGGGAAAGCTATAAATACATGCAGCAGTGTCCTTTGTTTAGTTATTGTTTTTTCCTCCCTTGTCCTTTTACCAACTCTCTCCTAAGTCATGTCTCCAGTCCCCTCCTAACAAAAAGAGACCATATTTGCAACAGAGTCCATCAATGTTGCTTCCTGTAACAACAGGTCTGACCTTTTGCCCTGCGTGTGTCCGTTCCAAATGCCAGTCCAGCCAAGCAGAGAATGCAAGACACTCAAATGGTGATGGCATTTTGTGAATTGCTTCCTCCCTCTGTGGTTTCGTTCATACTTTGCTGTTTTTTTTTGTGTGTGTCGCTGTTTTTTTGTCTGAATGAAAAACACTCCCCCAGCTGCTGCATGTACACCCCCATCTGCAGGATGTTTAAAACCTCCAGGACTTGTGTGCAGCTTTAACGCTGTGACCATGAGTCACATGTGCTACTATGTACCCTGTCCTCCAACTGGCAGATTGGCACAAATCTGCAGGCCTGAAGTGACTGGAGTCGGAGCTTTCTGCGAGCCACAGAGAGATGGAGACTGAGCAAGATGGAGTGGGTGCAAAAGACTGGAGAGATGAAGAAATGTATGCTATTGGGGTGGGGGTAATCCATATGTCAGTCTATGAGACGTCTCCAAGGCAACAGAAGCTGTGAAGGTGGGAAGCAGGTCGGCAGGCAGGAAGGAAAGATGGATGACAACAAAAAGAGAGAATGTGGCAGAAATGCTTCCTCTGAAATGACAGGGTTCTCTTTTTACTCATTTTCAGGTGTATTGGGTCATTAAACGTATAAGTACACACACACACACGGACAGACAGACAGACACACACACACACACACGCTCATGCGCACAATGCATCCAATAAAACCTGGAAGTATACCAGACCTCCTGCTGTGCTTTTGTTTCCGAGCACATCCTTCTTTCTTCTCCTTCCTGTCCGTCCAGGAAGCCAGTCGATCATTGGCAGGGATAATGTTCGACACATTCTGACTCTTAACCTTCAAGTGATTATTGTGTTCCAACACCTTCTTGCCTTCTGTGACTTTAATCTCTCTGCTTGTGAGAACAAGAACACACTGTCAGATCTGTGTTCGGCGCAGAAGGAATGCACTTTTCCTGTCCACCGGGGTCCGTAGGAGCTGACGTGTTCCTCTTCGTTTTCAGGCTGACAGAGTTGTAGAGAGGCCGGCTCCTGTAATGAGAGCAGAACAGACACATTAACCTTTTCCTCTGACGAGTCTCCAAAGCTCAGCCATCGATCTCATTATTTTCTAAAAGGAAGCTGTTGACAGTGTGAGCCTACAGTTCTGCACTGAGTCAAGAGAGAGTCATGCAAAAGACACATTTTTGATCTTAGTAATTGTTTTAAACATTACAATCAACCTTTTTTATCTTTAAAATAAGGAAAACTTGAAAAACACAAATCACAACAGAGGAGAGTAGAATAAAACCAGCTCTCTCATCCAAAATAGAGCAGTGGCTCAACTCTGAGCCCCTCCCGGGTACCAGAGCTTCACAGCTTATAGCAGCCTGAGTGAGAGATGGGTGGGCGTGGCCAGCTCCAGCTTGTTTTCTGAAAGTGACAGAGTTCTGAAACAACTCATTCTGGAAGGTACTGAAACTGTCAAGAGCAAAACTGCTGAATTTGCTTCATGTGAGAATTATTTAATGCAAATAACTTCAAGAACAAGTTTTGTATCGACAATAGACCTATTAAAAGTCATGAAATATCCCCTTTAATACATGTTTCAATGTATTCCTTTTTGTGTTTTTCTGTTCTCACATGACAGCTTATGTCTTTATAAAAGGATACTTTTATTGCGTAACATCTTTTATGTAAAACCAAACGTATCAGAAATAAAATAATAATGATAATTAACTTGCCTACTCAAGTATTCACTGGGTTCTCAGAACTTGGTGAAGAAGTCAGGTAAAGATGTAAATGTGCCTCAGCGACCCACAGGTTATCTCAGAGAGTAGTTTATTGCTCAAATAACTGAAAATAACTCTTAAAAGCCTGTAACATCATGTCCAGATCAGCTCAAGAGACACCTGTTGTTACCCCCCCCCCCATGTGCGTCTGATTGGGAGGGGTTATGAAGGTCTGAGTTCATTCATTCACAAGTGGCAGCATGAAAAGCTCCACAGATGTTTATTATTAGGCTGAAAAAAGGATGACATTTAAATTAGGGTTAAATATAGCAGCTAATAAAGACCCAACACCCATTTTTATCAACAGCATTGCACATATTTCAAGCCCAGTCACAGGATATTTTAGTTCATTCTCATGGATGCATCAGAAGCTGAAGTCTGTCTATTTTTAAGAACCTTGTTAAATGCAGTTCAGACACAGCCTCTGCTGAGCCACAGCTTTCAAGGCACTTATAAGTTCAAAACCAGGCAATCTGGACAAATAAAGTACTTTTTTTGTCCAGCGGATCAATGAAGACACGGGGCCGTCCAATTTTAGACAAATGTATTTGTTGCCATAGCGAAGTTTCCAGGGAAACCAATCAGCTGATTTAAACCCAAAGAAAAACACAAAAGAGAGAAAAGAAGGAAAAAAACACAAAAGAGCAGGAATACAAAGAGGGAAAGGCCAACAAAGACAGATCTGAGTAAACGTTTGTTTAATTCTTTAATGGTTTGAAAAGGTTTACTGGCACAAATAAACAAACAAACATGAAGCTCATAGGTTTTTGCTCCTTTAGGAGATTACGCTGCATTTAAGAAAACTTTAAGTGTAAACTAATAATAATTTAAAGACAATTTAATTCTTTATAAACCACGGAGCGTGGCCATATCTTCGTGCGTAAAACAAGATTAGTTCCACATCTGCAACTTTCAGACGCAACAGGCGAGTTTTAACTGGTTCCGCTGGGAAACGCGGAGTGGCAGAAGTTGATCTTATTGGTCAGATGCAGCTCCGTGCCGTGGTTAAAACGCACGACAGGAGCTCGGGATCGGAGACCGTCTGGAGGTGCAGAGCAGCCGCGCCGCGGAGCGCACAGCCGCATCTGACACCTGTTACTGAAGGAGCAGACTCAAAGGAGCGCTAAAAGCAGAGAAGCGGCTTCCCGTTAACTCTGTAAGTAGATTATTTATGACTTTTTGTTCATAGAGCATGAAAGAAAATAGACATTAGAGCGTGTTTCTGTTTTGGAGCTTCTGGAAGCAGATCAGGACGCACAAAAGGAGAAATGCGTCTCGCACCTGTTGAGTTTTATAACTTTTCTGCTTCAAAATGTTTTCCTGAACAAATTAAAGAAATGATTAATTAATTTCTAAATTATTGTAATTCGTATTAGTCGAATTTTGATTGGTTAATTTCAAGAAATTACATCATATCGATAAAACGGCAATACTAGTCACTCAGACTGAAATGGAAAGCTATATGAGGTTTATAGTAACAGTTGTTTTCTTGCATTATGAGGGCATAGAGGCTGAAGCTATGTTATGAACTTCACATCGGAAGCCTTCAAACAATAATAGTTCTTTTCCAGACTACATTTAGATTAAGTTAAATTCTAACTACATATTATTTGTTATGCTGTAATAATAAATAATACAAATTTTTCTTCAATTACAGAAAACATTTTTTGAAATTTAGATTCAGTTTATCTTAACCGTAAAACCTGCTTCCTCTTAAAGTTACACGCAGGCTGCATTTCAGCACCGCCACAATCAAGTAACACTTTCATCCCTCTGGAGTGACTCTCCTCTGATCCTCTACCAATCCATGTTGTTAATTGCAGACGCTCCTGAATCAGCCTGATCCTGAATCCCACTGTCCCGAGGGACCATGTGGGTTCTGGATAAGATCCGTGGCTCGGTGGACACCAGTTTGCTGAGACAAGGAGATGGTGGAGACAAGAAAGTTGTCACCCCAGCCTACAGCAATGTGCTGACCCCAGACAAAATTCCTGATTTCTTTATCCCACCGAAGTTGGTCAGCTGCCCCGTGGAGCCAGAGATCTCAAACACAAAAACCAAAGACTGTTTACAGCCATCCACTTCTGAGCAAACTCTGGGCAGCGGCAGGAAGATCAGCAGCCCCAGAAGTCCTCGCCTGGTGGCTAAGCTGGCAGGAGACACTAAGAACTTGCTGAAAGCAGCGAACCGCCACATCATTCAGATAGAGAGTGCTGATGATGTCGTGGCTGGAGACACCAACGCAGACCCACAGTCGCAAACAGCAATGTCCCTCCCTTATGTTCCCAAGACTCAGACTTCATATGGCTTTGCAACCCTAAAGGAGAGCCCCCACACTCGGCGTAAGGAGTCGCTGTTCCACTGCGAGCTCACCAGTCCCATCACTTCTCCAAACACTCAGAGGAAGACCCCAGGAAAAAGCAGCGACACCGGAAACCATCTGAACCCAGCTGACTACAACACCTCCCACATGAACCCTTATCGCTACTTCAGCGGTGGAGAAAGTGACACCTGCTCCTCCGCTGAGTCCTCTCCCTTCAGCTCTCCACTTCTTTCCCGCTCTGCATCCCTGCTCAAGATCTTCACCCACGAGACCCAGGCCAAAGTCGTCAAGGCTAAGCGGACGTTTGCTCGCCATAGTTCCCTGTCCACCGACGAGTGCAGCTCAGCTGAGCCGAGCCCTAACATACAGAGACGGCTTCACGTTCCCTCTCTGCAAGGCGGTGCGGGATCATCTGATCCTGGCCTCCAAAGAGAGCACACCGTCAACCTGCACAAAGGTGGGACGGTGAGGATCAGCGCCAACTACGACTCCAGCACGTCCCGCCTGCTCATCCGTGTTCTGGCAGCGGAGAGTCTTTACGACAAGAGCTGCGACATCAAGAGCATCAACTGCTGTGTGTCCGTCTACCTGAATCCCGGCAAGCTGCAGAAGCAGAGGAGCAACATCATCAAGAATAGCCGAAACCCGGTTTTCAACGAGGACTTCTTCTTTGACTCCATAAGCTCGATTCAAGTGAAGAATCTTTCCGTCAAGTTCAAAGTGGTGAACAAAGGTACCAGCCTCAAAAGGGACATGCTGCTGGGGGAGAGGGAGGTGCCACTGACCAAACTGCTTTCAGGACTCTAAAACCAGGGAGCTGAAAGGAGGCGAACCCCATGGATTCGGAATAAAACCTAATGTTTACGCTGGTTTATCCTCCATCGTTGTTCATTCCAAAAACCCAAACTTGTGATTACAGCTTTAATCTTGGATTTGTGAGCAACAAAATAACAGACCCTCCTGACCTAATTTATGGTGGTCAATGTTTACCATCATCAAACTGAGCTGAGCCCTGCCGCAACACATAAAAAGCTTTTCCTCTTGACCATGCTTCTTGAGCTGAAAGGTTGGACGGCACCTGTGCATCAGCCTGTGTCTAGCGTGCTCACCTTGGCATTGTGTGTTTTTTATTATTGTAATGTGGCAGAAATCCGCAGCAGCACAGGATTCTGCATCAGCTCCACCATCTGCCGGACGCAGAGATGCTTTTGTGAATGAGTGCGAGCTTTGAAGTGGCTCGACATCCTGATGTGCAAATGATCCTTTGATCTACAGAGGAGAGCAAGGAACAGAAAGAGTGTCCACATCTACATGCACATCAAAAATCGAATTACAATATGATTAAGTAAGTGAGACAGAAGTCTACTGCTGACATGATCATGATTAATCTTGCAGGTATCAAAAGATCATACAGCTTAGATGCTGCAAAACTAATGTTTGGTTGCAATTTTTAGCTTAAAGCAGAAATCCTGAGTTTTCTTTATTTCAGAAATTATGTATTATTTTTTAGGAATCCGTAAATGTGATACTCTTACCCTGTAGTGTGGTATAATGTAGGACATATGTCATTAGCCAATGGCGCTAGACACCTTATGATTTCAATCAAAGAGCAAGCCGAGCTTTGAAGGACTTACTTCATAGTTGATTCAAAGTTTGCAACATTTCTCATTGTTAGGTGTTTCTTTACAAATATCAACATTAAGAGTGGAAATTCAATGCGTTAATTTCGATTAATTCATTAGAAACAAATAACGTGTTAAAAATTCCCACTCAGGCTCAAGTGTCCGCCACCAGTGGCTGAAAAAGTTCAGCATCAAAATGTATGCCCTGTGTATTAATAAATATCATCAAGCTGCACCTCGAGAAACCACAGAGCCTGGGCTACAAGGCCATATAAACCTTTTATACCTGCTCCAAACACAATTCAAACGCCAATTAAAAGAATCAAGACAAATTGCTTTTCATGAAGAAAAGAAAGAAAGCAAGAAAAAAATCTACTTTTTTACTGTTATATTTTCTAGCTGGTAGAAAGCAGGCAGGCAGGCAGTAACTTTATCCATTTGGACTTTATTACAGCAGGAGGGACAAGCATACACACAACATTAATCTTGTAACGTCAGCAGGACTTCCCCGGAACTCTACACTACACCTCTATATATGTTAGTAGTGCTCTGCTGCCACCTAGTGTTCAGTTCAGTACACAACATTTTCAATGTTTCATGTCCATTTACACTTCACGTCAATAACACATATACTAATATTTATGCATCTCAAGAAAGCCCACAATAGTTACATTTATGGTTACTAAAATACTCAAATAGACCTTGTGGCTACAGAAATATATTCATTAAAGTGTGGGTATGCCACCTGAACCTCACTAACATTATTTTTATTATTAAACATTGCTCGAGGACAAATTGTCTTAAACGATTAAAATGTGATTAATCACGGTTAATTAATTACAAAACCTCTGATTAATTAGATTTTTTTAATCGAGTCCCACCTCTAAAATATATATGAATAAAAAGCATTAAGTGATAATTGTAAAACAAAGGGTTTTACCTCTGTTGACCAGCTAGAGGTAGGCGGCGTCTTTCAGCCGTAATCACAGAATTAGACAGAGGGGTTTAAGGTGAAACATATTTTTTGTGCCTCGAGATGGTGCCCTCTGAGTATGTTTATGTTTATGTTTATGTTTATGCATTAAGCAGACACTTTTTGTCCAAAGAGACTTACAAGTGATAATGAAGAAGAAGAAAGAAGAAGAAAATATCATTTCTATAGTGCCTCTCAAGATAAAAATCATGAGGCACTTCACAAAAACAAAAAATGCAAAAATATGAAAAATTATTTAGAAATTGGTTAAAAATATATTTACAATGGGCAAAAAATAGACAATTGTGATTAAAAAATGTAAAGAAAGAGAGAGAGCGAATAGGAAAGAGGGAAACCAGTGGATCCTGAGGAAGGTGAAATAGGTGGGGAGAGCAGAATAAAGAGAGAGTGGTGAAGAAGGTCATACAAAACCAGCTTGAACAAGTGAGTCTTCAGCTGCTTTTTAAAGGAGACCACTGAGTCCACTGATCTCAGGCTCAGGGGGAGAGAGTTCCAGAGTCTAGGGGCCACAGCAGCAAATGATCTGTCACCTTTGGTCTTTAGCCTGGTGCGCTGCACAACCAGTAGGCTTTGATCACTGGACCTCAGGGACCTGCTGGGGGTGTAGGGACTGAGAAGATCACCAATGTAAGATGGTGCTTGTCCATGTAAGGCCCTATAGACCAGAACCAGGATCTTGAAATGAACCCTGAAGTTGACTGGCAGCCAGTGAAGCTGGAGGAGAAGCGGGGTGATGTGGGTGTGTTTGGAGGACTTGGTCAGAAGCCGAGCACAGGCATTCTGAACCACCTGTAGATGGTTCAGGGAGGTTCTGCTCAGACACGTGATAAGAGAGTTACAGTAGTCTAAGCGTGAGGAGATGAGGGTGTGGATAACAGTCTCAAGTTCAAGCAGGTTGCCCTTGAGGCTAACAACAAACACTAATCAGTCAATCCTAAGTGGAGTGAGGCAGCATAATGAATCATAAAGAGCAAAAGCTCTGGATTTCTGCTTTAAAGCATAAATTAAGTCAGTTATTTATACTTACATAATTTTCTTTGTATCTCTGTAAGGTCAGAAATCTAATTAGGTCTAACAAATAAATAAAGACAAGAGTGGGATAATGCTGGTGACACATCACAAAATACACTCTAAAAAGGAAATGTTGAATTTATGAAACCACGTTTGGTCAACTGGTTCCACTAAATCTAGTTGTGTTAATTTTAAATCAGTACAAAAACTGTCACCCCTGTGTTGAAAAACACTTTTAAAAGTTTCATTGCAAATGAATCGCTATAAACTTAAATATTTCCTCTGGAATGATCAGAAAATGGAAGAAATATCAACAAAGTAATTCAATACAAGTAAAGTAGTGGAACACATTTTATTTGCAGCACTCAGTCATTTTGGTGATCTTGAAGTACATCTGCAGAAATGTAAAATGTGTTTTTGTTCTTGTGGATTTGAACTTTTAAAGTTTCTCTTGTTACTGGATAAGATTTGACATGATGTCAGAGTTCGTGAATGACAAAACGTAGTGATGTTGGTGTGGACTCACAGTTACAGTGATCCTTAGAGGGAATATGGACTTTTTGGAAATTTCCTCAAATGAAACCTTGTGTGGCAGAAATAGTGATCATCTTACTTTTACATTAAGTTTACCATGAAAACTACCAAGGAGACGGATGGAAGTAATAATGTCTAAAGATAACGAGAGAACGGACGTATATACTTGAGTACACACAACAAGGTCAGTTTTGTCAGAAATGGAACACTGTCAGACGAAGGAGCATCTTAACTAATTAGAATGTGATTGTGCAGGCGTGCTATATTACACATCTGCCCCACTGTAGTCAAGATTTGTCACTAAATTGTATTTTTCTACTTTTCTAAAAAGTTTCAATAAAAAGAGAAAAGAAGTGCTGGTGCACAAAGAAAAACAACAAACAGCAAAACAAAAACACCCCTAAAATTAGGACCCTTTATCTGTAAATTACATTTATTATTGGATTTATGAGCTTTTTTAATGTCCTGAGGAAACTGGCATGCAACAGCCAACCTGGGTTGGACAAGCAGAAGAAATATTGAGAAACTTTTTTCAAAAAGATGCACCATTCCTCCAAACCTGATGGCGATAGCTCATTTAATTCTTACATGGCAACCATTCTAGAATCATCTGAATAATCTTTCAGTCACTATCCTTTTACCTTTAGAAATGACAGAATTAGGACCGAATAGGAACACAAAACAAAGCAAAACAACAATACACCTTTTAAATGTAACACGTCAGCACACGTAATAAGATCATCTATGTATGCAACCAGGCTTTAGCCGTAGTGCCTCGGCATCACAAGTAGACGCACCATTATGTGCATGTTAGTTATTATTTTTTAAATATGAGGATATTAGAGCGATGTTGTCACTGTGAGGGCCAGCTGCACAGCATCAACTGGTGTCTGCATGACATGCTCAAAGTGTTTATGAAACCCCAAAGCCTTACTCTGGGTGTGTGTGTGTCCTGGTCAGCATGCTTTTATCTAAAGGTAAATTTTTGTGTACGACACAAAGCACTTTGTAAGCAGCTTTTGAACTGATTGTTGACACGTGTTGGGTTTCTACTGTATTTGTCTGTAAACTGTACATGATAGCTTCAGCATTTTCCAGAGAAATGCTAATTATGCACCAGCGAGTTGGAAGTGAAGAGGAGCAACACTTCAATTTTAGAGTTGATGAATCCCGGTGGGACAAAGAGGAAATGTCAAACAAGATGACAGAAAATACTAACAACAAAGAAAACATTAGTGTGTGCTCGAACGTGAACGGCAGTTTTTCTATTGTGTCTCATTTTTGGCTGTTTTCTGCTGAGGGAGTAGAAGAAATGTCTCTGGCTGTAAGTGCTCGGTAAACGCGAAATGAGCTCCTGAGCTTCTGCTACGTCATTCCTGTGCTCTATATATTCAACATACAGTAATTGCTGTGATGGCGTAAAAACGACGAAACACCTAAATGCATATCTGTGTGTGTGTGTGTGTGTGTGTGTGTGTGTGCAACTACACTTAGGTTTGATGCATTTTTTAAGTCAAAGATGATCTCCTCTGCTGTTATTACTAAATCCTGTCTTAGATTTCTACAAGCATGGCTAAATAATTTCACTTGTGCTGAACCTGAGTGGACTCTTGTTGTGCTTTTGTGGATTGATCTTTGCTACAGTCACACATACTCATTATAATACAATACTTCCCCTAACCTACGAGGGAGGTGTTAAATGAGTGTGTCCTCATTTTGTAGCTTTGTCAGGCTTTTAGTAGCACTGTGTAGGAATTAGTCTTAAAGACACTGAAGAGAAGAGAGAAAGTGTCTGAGCAGAGTATAAAAGTATAACTGTATAAAAGCTATAAATAATGCATGTCTTACCCGTTGTAGGTGGCCTACTGATGAGCTCACACCTTGTTATAACGCTGCCAAGACCAAAAACGATTGCTGCAGTATTAAAACAGCTGCAGTTTCCAACATCTCAACAGCATTTCTTGGGAATAGTTTATATAAACACTTGCAATGCTGTCCGTTTTGCATGACATGCTTATTTAGTCAGAAATGAAAATAAATTCCTGGTGGAATTGACACATGTACTTGGCAGCTGCTGATTACATTGATGCATGTACATAGTTGTGTAATTCAAAATCTGATGAAAGATAAAAAATGTCCGGAACCTCTGTGAAACTTTGTTAAAACGTTTAGATGTTTAGACTAGCCATTAGCTTAGAGTTAGCTCTATTCTCTGAACAGAAGCCATTCAGGAGGCTATCTGCGGCAGGCAAGATAGTGATTATTCACACAGATACAAACTTCTAATTGGAACAAAATCCCCTTAACTAGACACAACTAACGTTAAAACACATATGCAACTTTAGATAAGGTAAGGCAGCTTTATTTGTATAGCACGGGCATTAAAATAACGTGTCAGCGCAATTAAAACACACCAACGTACACACCAAAGTGATTTCACTTTCAGAATCAGAAAAGAGACAAAGTTAAAGGTGAGCAGTTACTGTGCAGAAAAGAAAATTAGTAGTGAAGCATCGATATGAAAATTTTGAGCCGATACTTGGTCTGACTCCTCGGAGGTAGAGACTTTTGTGGAGCGAGTCAGTGCATCACGGGTCTGCTAGCATTTAAACAGCAGCTGAGAATCCTTCTACTAATTAAAACAAAGTAAATATGTGTTTAATTTGGCCGTCTCTCCTGCAAATTCATGTTAGACGTGTTTTCTTAATTTTGCTAACAAACCAACACTCAGCCCAACATTATGTAAAAGAGGGCAGACAGATTTTACTGTGTGTGTGTGTTTTGCATGAACAGTGACTTTGTTTTAATCTAAAATAAACTGTATAAATGCTGGTTTTCTTCTGTATTAACAGGTCTGTTCGGACAGAAGAAATGTGCCGATCCCATACTTGACTCTTAATTCTTTTCTTTCCAAAAGAAAATAAAAAACCATGGAAGCTGGTTTCCAAGTGCAGCTGTTGTTCCTGTGTTTCTAACCTGATTCTCTTTGATACTGTGATGATGCTGTTCTCTAGTTACCGTGTTAATGGGTGTGAATTTCTTTTAATAAAACTAAATGGAGTCACTGTTGATGTTTGTTGTTATCATCAATTCATTATCTGATGGTTACAGTTTATTAGGATTATATTTCTGAGTGACCAACAATAGTTAAACAGAAAACTGCTCAATAGTTGTCCTAAAGAACAGGGAAAGTCTTTCTTTTCTTCATTCCACCTTTCCGAAACATCATTTGCACATTATTCATGCAGGATGAAAATGCTGAAAATGCTTTTAATACATTTCTTCATTACTTTAATGGAATTCTCATTATTTTTGTGGGAACCTCTCCATCACCTTGACCCCCCCTTCCCGCCTATCATCCTTCCCAGCCTTATTTTAACAGTTGCTTTTTTAAAGGATAACCCTTTCCCTCTGAAACTCCATTTCCATAGGAGTCTCCAGGTCTCCTATCCTTTTCTTATCCTTTCTACTCCCAATAATCAACATCAAACACAGACATAAGTAATTGCTAATTTATTGGTAATGGTCAGATTTCCTTTAACCTCAGGGAGAAACAAACGAAACATAAAAGCTTCTGTTACTGTAATATTTCTGCTTTTGGGAATCTATTTTGCAACTTTTTATTCTCCACATTAAATTTGCTTTTATTTATTTCCCTCTGGTCCATTAATGTAGACTTTATAGCCAATGCCAGACCTCATGGATGTGCTTTTGGGAAAACGGTCAGAAATTCCCATAAACATGCTCATAAACCTTGTGGAAAGAAAAGTTGTATCTGCAAAGGGTGGACCAACTAATGGATCAGGAATGGGATGTAAGGTGAGACATCACATTACTTTTGGAAAGGCCACCAGAACATCCAGGTAATTTTACCAGACCTTCGTGCCATGTGGGTGTCCCCATTTCACCAGGGTGGCCTGAAAGGACCCTTTCCGTGCCATTTCAGGGACCAGCTGAGTGCCTAAATTCTGAAGAGAGGGGGGGCTTATGGTTTCCTGAAGGTCTTGGAGCTGGAGAGGAGGGTGAGTCAGATCTGGCTGAGTGAGGTGTCTTTGAGATGATGATGATGGCTGGGAGCTGAGCACAGGAGTTCAAAGGTGTCCGGGTTGGCAGGTGGGCATTGGAGAGCGGGCGGTCGGGGCGAGCGGCGTGGCTGGCAGCAGGGCTGATCCGGGGAGTCTCTTCCATGAGAGGTAGAGTAGTTTAGTAGACGAGAGGTACCTGAGGGAGCTGGAGGACAAGCAGGTGAGTAACAGGGTTGCAGGAAACTCCAGAGGCAAACAAGACTGAAACAGGCAGAGCACAGGTTAGATACTACCCAATACTGAGTAATCATCCGGCACCGGTGAGTTGTCACGCTGCTCCTTAAGTCCCCTGATGCTGATGAGGAGATTAGCAGCAGCTGCTCTCCGGGGCACGCCCACCTGCAGACAGAAAGACTCAGCTCCAAACAGAGGTTAACTCAGCACAGACCGTGACAGTACCCCCCCCCCCCCCCCCCCCCCCCAAGGCCGCCACCCGGCGGCAAGGCAGAGGAGAAGGAGGAGGCGGAGGAGGAGGCAGAGACTGCACGTGCAGCATCAAAATCCCTGATGAGGGACGGATCATCAATCCAGGACCCAGGGATCCACTGCCGATGCTCTGGGCCGTAACCTACCCAGTCCACCAGGAACTGGCGACCCCGACCGCGGGGTCTGGCATCCAGCAGACGCCGCACTCGGTAGCCCAGGCTACCATCGGCAAGACCAATGGGAGGAGGAGGAGGAGCAGCAGCAGGGGCAGGACACAGAGGACTGGTTGAAACGGGCTTGACGAGAGAGACATGAAAAACAGGGCTGACCTTCAGGGATGCGGGTAATGAGAGTCGGACAGACCAGGGGCTGATGACGTCACTGATAGTGTATGGTCCAATGAACTGGGGGGTGAGTTACTTGCTGGTATCGTTTAGTTTTATGTCCCTGGTGGAAAGCCAGACCTGTTTCCCTCAGGTATAAGGTGAGGCAGGGCGGCGGTGGCGGTCAGCCAACCGTCGGTTGTGCTCAGCAGTGCGTTGTAGAGCTGCCCGGGTCTGGATCCAAGTCCTCTTGGCCCTGCGGATGAACTGTGGGACTGAGACTGAGGCAGGGAGATCTGGCGGGAAAAGCGGAGGTTGATAACCCAGAGATGACTCGAACGGGGACTGACCTGTAGCAGAAGAGACGTGGGAATTGTGAGCGTACTCAATCCAGGGAAGTTAGGTGCTCCAACTGGTAGGATTGGAGGAGCACACACAACAAAGCATGGCCTCCGACTCCTGGGGACTGACCTGTAGCAGACGAGATGTGGGAATTGTGAGCGTACTCAATCCAGGGAAGTTAGGTGCTCCAACTGGTAGGATTGGAGGAGCACACACAACAAAGCATGGCCTCCAACTCCTGGTTGAGCCACTCACACTAGCCGTTAGTTTGAGAATGATATCCAGAGCTTAGGGGGACGTTGGCCCCCAATGAGGTAGCAAACTCCTTCCACACCTTAGACAGGAACTGGGGGCCTCCATCGGACAGTACCTCAGTGGGGATGCTATGGAGTCTGAAAACGTCTAGAACCAGTAGGTCAGCCGTGACAGCGGAGGATGGAAGGGACTTCAGGGGAATGAAATGGCAGGCCTTGGAGAACCTGTCGATGACAGTGAGGATAACTGAGAACCCTTTTGAGGGAGGCAGACGAGTGACAAAATCAAGTGCAACATGGGACCATGGGCGAGAGGGAATGGAAAGGGGTCTTAGGAGTCCAGCCGGTGGTTGATTTGTGGTTTTGTTGCGAGCACAGACCTGACAGGCACCGATGTATTCCTTGACGTCCTTAAACATGGAGGGCCACCAGAAGGACCTGCGGACCAGAGCGAGGGTGCGACCAACTCCTGGATGGAGAACTTAGTCATATGTGCCCAGTGTATGACTGCCCCTCGGACCTGTTGAGGCACATACAGCTTATGGGTAGGACCGTTACCTAGGTCGAGGTCCATCTGTTGTGCATCTAGAACCTTTTGCGAGATGTCCCAGGTAATGGACCCCAACACACAGGATGGAGGGAGGATAGTGGCTGGTTCCTGGTCTTTGTCGGATGCATACTGGCGAGACAGGGCATCAGGTTTGATGTTTTTGGTTCCGGGTCTGAAAGAGATGATGAAGTTGAAGCGAGTGAAAAATAAAGACTGACGGGACTGCCTGGGGTTGAGTCTCATGGCCTCCTTTAGGTAGGCGAGATTCTTATGATCAGTCCAGATTATCAGGGGGTGCTCAGCTCCCTCCAGCCAATGGCGCCATTCCTCCAGAGCCAATTTAACTGCCAGCAACTCTTGGTCTCCCACGTCATATTTATTTTTGGCAGGTGAGAGTTTCCTGGAGAAGAAGGCACAGGGGTGGAGCAGGTTATCAGAGGAGGACGTTTGGGAAAGCACAGAACCTACCCCAGAATCCAAGGCATCTACTTCGACAGTAAATTGGAGGGAGTGATTGGGGCGAGACAGGACTGGGGCCTGGGAAAGACGGGACTTTAATTCCAAAAATGCCTGGTCGGCGTCGTTGGTCCAAACAAAAGGTCTCTTTGTGGAGGTTAACTGTGTGAGAGGAGAAGCCATCTGACTGTAATTACGAATGAAACATCTACAAAAGTTGGCAAAACCTAGGAACCGTTGTAGCTACTTGCGAGTAGTTGGGGGAGGCCAGTCGTAGACTACGTCTACTTTATCAGGATCTGTCTTAAACCGCCAGCTCTCCAAGACGAATCCAAGGAACTTCACAGATAAAGCATGGAATTTGCATTTCTCAGCCTTTACGAAGAGGTGGTTTTCCAGAAGACGCTGTAGAACTGCACGGACGTGATGGCGGTGTTTAGAGAGGGTACTGGAGAATATTAAGATGCCATCGAGGTAAACGGTAACAAACCAATTTATTTAATCATTGAGTACAGAGTTTACCAATGACTGGAACATGGCGGGGGCGTTGGTGAGGCTGAAGGGCATGACGAGATATTTGTAGTGGCCCAGGAGGGTCTTGAAGGGCGTCTTCCACTCGTCGCCTTCCCGGATCCTGACCAGGTGGTAGGCGTTTCGGGGGTCCAACTTGGTGAAAATGGTAGCGTTTTGAACTGGATCAAAAGTAGATGACAGCAGAAGCAGAGGGTACTTATTTTTGACTGTTATTTGATTTAATCCTCTATAATCAATGCAGGGGCGCAGGGAGCCGTCTTTCTTGTAAACAAAGAAAAATCCAGCACCCAGTGGAGAGGTGGATGGACGGATTATACCTGCTGCTAATGATTCTGAGATGTAGGTGGCCATGCTGTCACGTTTGTCACAATCTGCCCCTGCCTTCCTGACTGTGTTTCTCTCCTGCCCTGATTAGTTGTGTATTGGTTTCACCTGCCCTTGTTAACATGCCCATGTGTTCCTGATTTTCCCCAGTGTATTTATACCTCCCGTCTCGTATGTCCTGTGTCGGATCATTGTCGTTTTGTGCATGTTTGTTTGTCCTGTCGCTCCCGTTCTACAATTAAACAATTTTTACTTTATCCGTGCCTGCTCATCTGCCTCTGGAACCCTCCACCACACTTGGTCCACCATCTCCACCCTCAGAACATGACAACGTTCAGGCTTAGATAAATTGTATAACCTGCTGGAAGGTATGGTGGCTTCCTGGAGTAGATCTTTGCTACAGTCATGATGACGATGTGGTGGTAGAGAGGCGGCTCAGTCCTTGCAAAACACAGCTTGTAGATCATGGTACTCGGTCAGAATCAGGGACAGGTCGGGAGGAATCGGGGAACTGGAAACCGGACGCTGGGTGGGGAGGTGAACAGACAGGAGGCAATGGGACAAACAATGCGGGCCCCAGGCTACTGCCTGACTAGTTTTCCAGCTAATATGGGGGTTGTGTGTGGCTAACCAGTCATAACCAAGAACGACAGGTGATTGAGGAGAGGGAAACACAAAGAATAATACGACTTCATGATGGTTACCAGAATACTGTAGTTTGACGGGTACTGTCTGGTGTGTGATGGAGGTTAATGGGTTTCCATCCAGCGACGAG